CGGGTGGGCAGATCTTGTATGAGGTCATACTCAATGTGTTATGGAGGTGGAGGTCTCGAGGTTTCTGCGTAATGAATCACCTGTCTGCAAAGTTTTTCTTGGTCTATGTCGGGACGCAATTGTGTTGCACCGACAATTAGGCATGAAGAAAATGCACCGGCTAATTTTTATTTTGAATCAAGATGTGTCGAGCTAAAATCTTTTAGGATTTTGACAATCTTTGAAAGCAGGTTGATAATTTCAACTCTAAGGTCATTGATAATTAATTTTGTAATAATCGTGTAAAAATTTGTTTAACCGTACATTAAATGCGCGCGTATAAAGATTTTGTGTGCTGCTTTCGGACGGTTGTGCTTACTGGCGCATCGCTTGACTGAGGGCTGGTTATTAAAGGTTCTTGTCATTCAATTCCTCTTTCTCTGGGAAATGTCCCGTTTTTTTGTGGCGGGCGCAATTCCTTTTTTGTTGGTGTTCTGGGTGCTATGCGTGTCGCATTTTCATTTGTGTATTTTCTCTAATATACTTGTTGATTTTTCTCGCTCCTCTAGGGTCCATTAACTTTTGTTGAATTTTTGTCCTATTGTTGGCTTAAATGACAATTTTTGCTGCTTTAGATGCCGATTGAAATATTGAAACAAACATTGCTTAATGTTGTTGCTGAGGTTATCAACCATGTCGGCTTTGAGGTAGCGAGTGTGGAGGCCGTTGAGATCCTTTCTGAAGTTCTCTTTAAGTACATGCATTCGATTTCAAAGGCAATTGCTGATCTTGCAGGTAGTCTATTTGCATTATTCATTTTTCCTTAGTTGAGGATGGGTACTTCAGTGTCATTGATGGACTTACTATCATGGAGTTGATGAATGAACCACTCTCTGGCATCATTAAATACGTCAGGGAATCAGGATCCTTTTTTCCAAAACCTCCAAACATGTACATGCCTCTTGTTGGAAGAATGGAACTAACCATGCCGCTCTGTATGGACAAAACACTGTTAGCTTCTTCCTTTTCGTTAATGCAGGATACTCTACGCTCCAAAGAAGGGACTGAGTTGCCTTCAGAAAATAAAGCAGAAAGTATCGTGGGACAGACATCTATTTCATTCCAGGGGCGTAATGAGCGTAAATTGCCGCCTTGGGCTGGTAAAGTCCAATACAAGCTTGCCTGTGTTACGTACGACCCGAGTTGTGGCTCAGTAGTGGAGCGTAACTTACCAACACCAGTCCGTTCGTCTGTTAAAAGATATTCCTGTCGATCAACGGTCTCGGCTTTTCGTAATCTTCAAATGTCGCCGGTGTTATCTGATTCTGATTATTCGTCAGATATTTTCGCTGTTCAGAGCACTAAACCATCCCGTTCTATGGATATACTTAGAGGGGGTGGTCCGAAAGTATGTGCTTTTTGGTGCTCTTGTTTCTATGCGAATACTTGTTTGATTTTTTATCGTTTATTCCAGTCTTGCACTTTAACACCACCGCGGGAATGCGGAAAATCCTGTTCTAAAACTTCGCCATCGACGTCATTTTTTGCTTCCGATGCTGCACTTGCGGAAGTTACTCCTCCTTTGCCTTCCGCTGACTCTAAAAGCTCATACTCTCCAGTGATTATTGGGAAAGCTCGGTATTTTCATCTCACTTTCCTAACTGTATACTTGCTTTATATTTTATTATATTCGCAGTATAATCGTTCTTCGTGCGTTATCTCTATACCTCATTTGAATTTTACTTTTATGTCTGGTGTTGTAATATTCCGATTTCATTTTCTGTTTTTATTTGAAGTCACTAACAAACTAATAAATCCTCTCAAAGTTTTGGTCGTCGGAATTCGCAAAATCGGAAGAAAAGATTCAGCTTTGGGCGAAAGCGCTTTCAATCAGTAGGAAAACGAGCTACGTTCGGAGCAAAACCACCTGCATCTCCTGTGGTTGAAATTGCGAAAGTTACCAGTCCTGTTAATCGTTCAACCCCTGGTGATGGAACAGACAACAGTGAGGCTCCTCCCTCGGCTGATGTGTCAAGTCCATGTCCCTTTTCGGAGCTAAAATCTGTTGGCAGTCCGGGTACCGTAACATTAGGCCTTGCAAACACAGATTCACACCTGACCGATGTGCAGACGAATGTCTTGACTGGTATGCCTATTTTCTGCGGGGAAATTCGTTCTTATTTATCTTGTTTATAAGCACTCTTGGAATGGGCTGAGCGAACTTGAGTGATCTTGACTTGGGTTCGTATTACCACTTCAGTTTGAGCGATCTCTTGTGTTGAACTTATCTATATAAACTAGATGATGCTTGTTTGTGATACCTTTCTGTCAGATGGATGACTAAGTAATGCTTGGATTCTCTCTGTACAACATTGTGAACCAGTTATCGTTAATTGTGACGCCTTTTTGAAGCCTCTATGTCTTGGTTGATCTACCTAACTAGTCCGTCATTGCCCTTCTCCGGTTCTCGAACCATCAACCTCGCTAACTCCTGAACAAAACTTTGCGCTCGATGATTCTGGTGCAATTGGAAGTTCTTTAGGAATTTCAGATGGCAGTGTGATTTTACAAAAGCTATCCCGATCTACCTTCCAAATTCCCGAGACCCTTACTCAGGCTAGGGTAATAGCTGCTGAGGGAGTGGTTGAAGTGAGCTGACATCTTGTGGATAAAGCAATTTTGTTTACTTTTAATAAGTTAAAAATTTCTTTTATTTAGGCGTCTTCCGTTCGTTCATCAAGTAATAATGGATGCATGAAAAGTGAAGTCATTTACTCCCCTACTTCCTCCGATTCGTGTACTGAACCACTGACAAATGAAGAATTAAGTCGTGATTACGAGATGCCGCGTGTCTTTAACTTTCCTCCAACGAGGCGATCAAGTTTTTCCCCTTCTTCTTCGTCACTTTCATCGTCTTCACCATCATCTTCCTCTTCTTCACCAGTTACCGACTCCTCAAAAGCTGCCATTCCCTCAGTACCGGTAATTGTGACTTCATCGTCTCTTCCCATTCCTTCGCAATTGCCTGTTCAAGAGCCGCCTTCCGACGTAATTTTTACCTTACGAACTCGTTAGATTTATTTTGGCAATTTTTTTAATTTCCAAGGCATTCAATGGACTAAAGCTAAATTACGCATTGTGAACCGCTGGTTGACGTTGTTTTATTTTCTCCATTTACACTCCTATTATTAGCACTCGTCTCGTGCCTCGTCCCCATTACCCGGGTCATTGGCATCCCGACAACCATCGTCTATCAACGGTCATGCTACTGGGTCTGCCGAAGCCTCCCACACTCCGACTGTTGGTGCTAGTGGCGGTATTCGCATAAAAATTCGTCTGGGTGGTCCTGAAGGCGAAACTCTGAGTGTCCGTTCCAGCGAGCCTGCTATCACTAACACCAACTCTAGTTCATCGACAAGCAGTAGTAGCGTCTCATCCCCTCTCAGCTCCACCCAAGTTTCCGATGAGGAAGCTATTGCTAGACGTCACTCGGCCATCCCACCTGCACTTGTTGCGAAAGGAAAACGACATGAACCTACGTCATCATTCGGCTCTCTTGGTAAAACACAGCTTCGCGCCCCTACTATGCCTCAGCAGGCGTCTCTGGGCGTCAAAACTCCCAAATTGTAAGAATGTACTCGTGCCAATTGTGCATTAATTGCGCGTGAGAATTTTTTAGCAGGTTTCAAATCTACTTATGTTCATGTCTAATTAATGATGATTTCCTTCTGCCTTTTAGAGTTATTAAGTTCGGTAGTGATGAGCACGGATCTACTAGCATCGTACGGTCTTTGGATCAGCAAGTATTATGCCTTAAGTCTGTCCTCGCTCAGGAAAAATTACGTGGCAGTAGCATCAGTAGTTTGGGAAGCAGTAGCTCGAGCTCTACAAGCCAGACCACGGATGATGAGGATGTAACTCCTGTCTCAAGACCTCCTCATCTGCCTGTATTAGAAAGACTTCCAGCTACAAGAACTAGTAATCGTTCATCTCAGCCGCCAGCACTTTCCCTACTGAAAGACACTTCCAAAATGACGTCATCTAGTTCTGACTGTCGGAAATTACCTCCACAGCTTCGACCTCTGAATATCATTCCACCTTCACTTCCGGTACTAAAGTCGTCATTTGGTCCATCAAAAACCGTATGTTCACCTGCTTCATCATTTGGACGTAAGTCAAAAAGTTTTTAATTTGCGGATTTGGCTTTTGATTTATCCAATGTGGTTGAATTCGTAATCCCAGATTGTAGTACGAAATCGTCTTCCAAGTGTGGGAAAAAGGCATCGCGGAAGGGGTATACGTCACAATCACCACCGAAAAGTGGAGCTTCACACACAACACTTGGTAAACGGGTTTTGGTCGATTCAGTCTTCTCTGACGACGACGAGGAGGATGTGCTCGCCAGCACTGGGGAAAATCGAAGCATTCGTTCACGCGACAGCCATCGACTTCATGGCCAATGTCGATATGGTAGTAAGAAGCGGAAAATTGGGGGCGAAAAGCTTCGAGCATCAAGTCAGATCCACCCTCCCACTACTCAGATTATTGCTGCCTCGGCTGGAACCTCCTATTACTTTGTGAGGATTGATCTTACATTTGTCGTTTGCATGTTTGCAAATAATATCTGACTACCTAGACTGGGATAGTTAACACAGTTAACCTAATTATGCATGCTTTCATTTTGTTGATTCAAAGCTAATCCTATTACTTAACTGTTAGAACAACGCCGGGGAGCAGATATGGCTTTGTCCCATTTGCCGCAATGAGGATGACGGCAACCTCATGGTAGGATGCGACAGCTGTGATGACTGGTACCACAGGTATTCTTCACTTTTTCTACTTTCACATTAGCATTATTATGAGTTTTTGATCACTGTTTTGCTTTTGTGAACCTACAGTAGTTGCCTGGGCTTATCGAAGGAACCTGATTCCGCTCAATGGTTCTGCCCGAAATGCTTACGTGAGCGCCTTGACAAATCGATAACACACTCAAGCAATGCCAAAAGGCGATCGAGGAAATCTGTCAGCTCGCGCCATTGTAGAAAATGAGTGCTCTGCCTATCATTGACGTTCTGGATGTGTTCATGAGTACACCGCGTAAATTGAGTTGTTTCGTCTCCGTGGTTGGTTGGTTGTGGTACTTGGGTTGGGGTGGGGCGCACTGTCTAACGGCTGCTGGACGAAAGTGGGGGGAGTTCCGATATTTAAGGGATTTCGCTTGATGGTTAAGGTGGGGTTCGGTTATTGTTATACATTTTTGTAACTGTGTTCCTTTAAAATCATCTTGTTTAAATTAGTCACATTACCCTTGAGAATCCAATAAAACTACAGTTAATATTCCAGTTTGAGGGTTTGTTTCAATTGGGTGTCGTTTGTGTAGGTGCTTTAATGTCGGGGTAGAGTTAATCAACATCCGTAAATGGCTGTCAAAAAAATCAAAGATAGTGGGAACGAAATATCAATAAATCTTAACAGGAATAGGAAATTTCGATTCCACCTCTTCGAAAGGTGCTCCGGTGGAGTATTGAACCTTCGATTTGATTCTACGGTTCTGGAGAGTTACTATACACTCTGCTCGTTCCCTCACTCTCTGTCTAGATTTCGAATAGCAGTTTCGTATTTCGCCCTTGTGTGCGGAACATGGATGATCTTTTTTGCTACTTCTGGAACAGAACAATGGATGGTATATGTTGCTGGAGCTGCTACGGGTCTTATGGTGGCGATTGTTCTGTTTGTGCTTACATGTTCAAAGGTCATATTTGAGAAGAACTTTCTCGTGCTGTACATAATACTTGCATTATTCTTCAGTTTGCTATTTTTACTTGCATTTGTTCCTTCGACTGTCGGTGTTTCTTCCGCATTTAATGCCAGTCTGATTGTTCAATTACTTCTGACAATCTACATCAATATTCCTCTTCGCCTTTGGCAAGTAATGCTAATTTGTGGACCTGTAAGCGTTTTGCACGTGGTATTATCGTGTACAGTTTGCGGAAAGATAAATTCGCGATTAACCTGCATATACATAATCTTACATTGCTGCATTCATATGGTTGGATTCGTACAGCATATTTTATCCCAGGTGAGTTTTATATCAAGTAGCCTTAGCCATGCTAGTGTTGCCATTCATCATTTTTCCAGGTGAACAGAGACATGCCTGCCTATTTTAGCAAGCTTATTGCTTGCTGAAAGTTTTTTTTTGCACTCGACCATAAATAGAACAGATTTGATGAATCCTTTAATTGGGTGATCGTTTCCATTTCCTGTTTCGTTTGCTAATGGGAAGTGAGACAGCCCCTGTAGAGCTCTTGCTGTGTTTTTATAATGTTCTACTTTCCGTTGATGCATAATCGTCGCATAAATTGCTGTCGCTATCCACTTGAGTAATCAGGCTAGTTTCTCATCTACTTTGCATGTAAACCTGATGGTGACATTCGAAATGAACTCATTTGGCGCAGGGCATGATACATATCTGTTCACCAAATCTCTGTGTCCACGACCTCTCTTATTTTAGCTTGTACGTTGATTTTGACCCCCTGGTTTATTCAACAGGTAATTCCTTAACTAAAAAACCTCTGAATCTTTCCTCGCGCGTTGTCTTATTCAAGTCCTAACGCAATAATGCTGAACCCACAGTATCTATCTAAAACCTTTCGTTTTGGTCCTTTCTTGGCATTTTGATTTGCTGAATGGTACTTATTTTAGTAGTCTTGTTCTTATAAGTGTTTGTTCCTACTTTGAACTGGAGCTATTGCCAGGTGTTTTCTGCATTATGATTTGCGTTACTTTAGCCTTAGTACTTCGCCATAGCGTGTTATTTCATGTTGTCTTGTAGTCATTTGGACTCAATTATTTTATATGAATATTAGATAGCTGGGTTACACCTTTGTGCCCATGAACTCAGAAATTGACGGTTGAATAAATATCATCGTGCAGAGGATATGTACAATTCTCGGGACCTTTTTAATCATGTATTCTCAAACATTGTCACAAGTAGTTGGCGTCTTTTGGATCTAAATCATTTTTCAACTTCAATATATGGGGTCTTTACTAAGCCTTTAAATATCTTGGGTCTAAGCAAAAACCCAAACGCACTTTTTGATATTGCAATGCTGTATCTGAAGTCGTAAAGTTGAATTAGGAGTACCGTTCTAAATTCGAAGTATTTTTTGAAATCTAAACGCATCTTTTGTACATGGGACAAATTTTAGGAAAAGAGCTCTACTCGTATTAAAGCTATCGCACGTTTAGGTACGACGCCGCTCAACATTTATGCGCCTTGGTCACAGTGCTCTAATGCGCAAGGCCTTAGAGAAAGAGCAGCAAACCCAAAATGAAATGATCCAGTCTTTAATGCCTCAGAAGGTTGCACTCGAAGTAATGCAGGGCTCCTACAACAGCGAAGATGAAGATGAGTCGAACGACGATGAAGGCGACAGTGAGCTGCGAATGGCCACCTTTCGTAAGGGAAAGAAGGACGCAAAACCTGCCATTCGTGGGAAGATAAATGTCAAGGAAGGGGGGAGCGCCAGCTTCTCTGACGATACAGATGATTATAGTGCTAATGAAAGCGAACCCTTGAAAGCGATGGAGGCTAGTACATGTAAGCGAAACGACATTAGTCTACGTATTTGTTGATTTAAATCTTGAATGCTTGAATAACAATGTAAGAGAATGTGTTTCAATTTCGACAAACGTGTCGCTTTTGTATTTTAGGTTTCTCTTGCAGGCTGATTCTAATTCCTTGCAAGTTGCAGATGTATAGCAAGGGTACTTAGGTGGAAATTGGCAAATCACTTTAGGTATTAAGGTTTTCCTGTGTGTATTAATCTAAAGAAGTCATCTGCATTTCTGTCGTCCTCAAGTGGATTGTCTTTGTTGGTGTTAGACCTCGAATTTTGCATTAGTTAGGTCATGCTTACATAATCTGTCAAAGTCTATGCCAGCAATTAGTGTTTAGTGGCAGTTTGACCTGCACTAAGTTAAAAGCCACCCACTGTTCGTCTGGTATGGACACTCAGGCTTGCTGCTTGTTTTTGGTTGTTTTTCGAAGGAAGCACTGGTTTTAACTCACATGTATGTTCATTTTAGCTTTACACACAGGTTATAATGGGTTGTATGCACAAGTATATTTTCTCATATGTCTACGTCACGAATGGTAGTACTAGAGTTTATTTCGGCTCAATATTTATCCTTCGTCCCTTTTCAACTTCCTAATTCATGGCTAATTCCATTGTATTTTTTTTTGCGTTTTTAAACCTTTTGCCTTAGCTAAAAAAAATGACTCACAATAAGCAGAAGGCTGAAAGCCACCTTCTTAGGATTCATGATTTAGTTTACTTCTACTTTTTCCGTCCCTGTTACTGTTGTCAGTGTAAGGTTTTGTTTCCTCTATCAGTGTTCGGTTTGCACAGCAAAATTTGCATAGTGGACCAACTTAACTGTACAGATGCACTATGCTTACTGCCCATGGACACATCCAATTTATTTACTACTGGCCTCAATTTTTTAAAGCGTCCTCGTAAAAACCTGTTTCCTGTCCTACTGCCCATTACTTGTCCTAATGCATCGCTTAAATGTGGATTTTAAAGTCGTTGGATTTCGTTTGTCGTAAAGAAAGGCATAAATCTACAATAGAATGTTGGTGTTCACTTGTCGCCAAGTAGTTATTCAAAAGTCAAAATTTCTCCCTTACCGGTGATCTTTCTGTTGCTTATTTCGGTGTCTCGATACAGATTTACTAAGTCAATAAAATTTCGTTAGAATTGAAGAGGAATAACGCTGGGAAGATTATTGCCATTGCAAAGAAAATTCGAATGTGATGTTGCATAAGGCTTCTATGGATTGAGAACTTACATGATAGGATATTTGCCCTTAACTATCGAGAATGGCTCCTTGTTTTGAATCAATTGAATTGCGCTTATGTTAGAATACTTTTCAAGATTGGAACATTTTAGTCTGAATAACTATCTTAGAGACTGGAGCGAAAATTTCTGGATGCGTTCAATTCGGGGTCCGGCTGTTCTTCTTCATTGCACCAGCTTTCTACCACTGTTAATACCATCAATAATCTTTTTTATAATCCTACTCCTTCCGTCTTCGAGTATATTTACCACGATTTGGCTTCGAGATACGGGTTATGTTGCTAGTGGTACCTACAATTCAATGTTTTTGATCCTTTGTAAGACTAAGGAAATATCGAGAACGAACAGTTTTAGTCAACTTGATTTTTTTAACTATGCTGTTGTATGTAGGCAAAATCCATTTATGAATTGCTCATAACTTCGTTTAAGTCGTGACGCATTAGCATTTCCGGTGCTGCCTCACATTTTCCTCATCGTTTGAAATTAAGTTTAAGCAAGTTTCCGACTTAAATTTTTTACTTTGTTAGCTTTTTAAAAACAATCCTTTACGCCCTACTAGCATACGTTGTTGCTTAATTCAATCGCATGTCTTATTATCTACCGAGTGCTTATTATATCCTTGAATTGAATTCGATGGGTTTGATTTTCATATTAACAGCATTACATTGTGCAGGAAATTTAGAAGTCGAAATATCATGTAGTGCCGAAGTCGCTACCACTGTTTACAGCATATTATTATTATTAGTATTTATGTTCCCTAGCATTCACCCTCGTGTTAATTTTTTTTCTGTAATTTGAACTAATTTTCCCATGGAATAATTTTGACTTGCCCAGTATACTGTATAAACTTCATTTCATGTACCTAATTTCAACCTATCGGTGGTCGACTAAGCAAATGGAACTCGCTTCTTTAACAGGCAATGACACACAGGTTGGGATTCGATGTATTTTCAGTTCACCAATTACTGGAATTCATCTTTGAGCGAATCTACGTTCCTTCTCTTCCCCCAGGCCTTTATTATTTTTTTCTTTACACAAAGCGGTGAAAACTGATCAAATGTTTAAACAGACCTTACATATTACATTGGTGGAAGATGCTGTGCCATCTGATGGGTAAAGTAGAAGTGTAATCCTAGGGCCTAACAGTATGGCGGAAACAGTTGATTGCTGATAGGTTGAGACTATCAAAGAACCCGATTGGTCGGCTGGCCGTGTGTAGCCAAGTTGGTCGATCCTTGGGGAAGCTGGAGCAAGGGTGATGCGCTTGTAAATGGGTTCCATTCCGCAACTATGGGATGCGCCTCAATCTCTTCTCCATTGTTTGCCATCTTGTTTTGCAGTGTTGTAACTTCAACTACCCTGATTCTGGTCGTTGAATTGTTCTTCCTTGGGGAAAACGATCACGATCTGTTGTCTCTTCATTTTTTTGTAATTTTGCGATCACAGTCTTGATAATATCACTGCACTGAAATTGGGCACATTCACTTAGCATCTAAAGCAACAGGAACGGTTTTCGATTTCGGTGTTGTTATTCCGCCTACATCTAGCAGAAGTCTGCGTTTTCTAGTTTACTCCACTTTATGTTTAAGACAATTATCAGTTTCCTTGAATCTAGGCATTTATATTTGAAGAAGTGATTGGCGATTGGCTCTGATGTGCTGATTGTTTGAATGTAAATTCTTTGGCTACCATCTGACTTCTACGTGGTACTGTTGTTACCTTTATTTCATATGCTTGAATTTATTTCTTGCCATTGTCTGCTTCACACTGAGCAGGTGTTTACAATTTTATTCGAAGTATAAGCCTGTGTAGCATCATTAAAGTCGACTCGTCTCACAATCAAGTATGCCACTATTTCAAAAATGAATCTTTGTCTGTGCAGTCTTAATTCTATTCGAAAGCTATATGGGTCTACTGGAATATAACTCGCCGTCGATCTCTTCTACCTTGGCTTGTCAACAAAACGATTGTACTTCTCCAATCAATTACGAATGTGTTCAAGTTTACTTTTCAAGGCTCGATAGAGTTGAAATCTACTCACTGTGTTCGAGAATATCGGGTCGTCTCCTGGATGAATCTTTTCATCCGTTTATTTTTGCAGCCCGCAGGGAACATAGAGGACACGATCGGGATGGCAGGATTGTAGCTACATCCAACCTGTCACGATCTCCACAAGTACATGCTGTGAAATTCCGCAAATTTCACGTCAGTCAAATGGAAAATGTCAGCATCCTCTTCGCTGATATCGTGGGGTTCACCAACATGAGCTCCAACAAGTCTGCCTCACAACTTTTGCTTCTCCTCAACGATCTCTTTGGCCGGTAAGATCTTGGTACCCCATTACTTTGTGGAAGTGGTGCCTTTTTGAGTTGGTGAATTTTATCATAGTTACATGAACACTTTCAATGGTAATAATGCCTTTGCAGTAGATCAGCAACTTTTTATATTCTCTTGCTTTGATAAATAGCGTAGCCATATCTGGCAATAGTATTCCAATCTCTTACAGACATTTGCCGTTATCAAACACCATCTTGTCTACACGCCATTTTATTCAAGCTACTTCAGAATACCTGCTCAAAACTAATAGTAGTAGCAGTAGGGATACTTCCTTTTGCAAATGCTAGTGAATTGTTATTTGCGTCACACTTATTAATAACAATAAATTGATGTCACTGTTACAATCCGAGATCACTATTGAGAAGAATGTTCTAGCATACCTATAACATTCCTTGTACGATCCCGAAAGCTTTAGTACCGCTTATCCATTTCCCGTCACAGGTTCGACAGCCTTTGTGAACTCAACCAATGTGAGAAGATAGCGACGTTGGGCGACTGCTATTACTGCGTTTCTGGATGCCCCAACGCCGTACCTGACCACGCAGAGAGAATTGTTGAAATGGGACGATCTATGTGTGTTGCCATTCAGCAGTTTGACAACGACCACGCTGAACAGGTATGGCCCTTCATTTCATCACTGATTGTTGAAACATGACTTCCTTTGATGGTGCCACTAGTTTGATATTGTCAAGATTTTGAAAGTTATCATTTTGTTACTGTGAATAACCTTGCTTTTAAAGACAGTTCATTTTAGAGACACTCACTATTACTCTCGTTAGCACTGTTGGGTTTTTCTTGTTTAAATCCGATTGATAGTCGCCTCTACGGATGAAAAAATGAAATTGCTGCGTTCCTAATCTATCTGCTGAACGGTTTCGATGTCAGGTGAACATGCGTGTCGGAGTGCATACCGGAAAGGTGATTTGCGGGTTGGTTGGAACACGCCGCTTCAAATTTGACGTCTGGTCAAATGATGTCACTCTGGCTAATCAAATGGAGTCTTCAGGTAAGGCAGGTAAAGTGCACATCTCCGAAACCACTTTGGAATTTGTCAAAGACATCTACGAAGTTTCGGATGGAGAACCCGTTCCTGGTACGTGAGAGCACAGCTGCTAAAGCATTTTGTGTTCTGCTCATTTATCGACATGGCATTTTTTTGTAGACATTCGTAAAGTGAAAGTGTTAGTGGAATACTATAACAAAGAGGATCAACGTTACGCTATTAAGCATACCCAAGATCAAGCTCGTAAGTTACATTCCCATTCGCAAAGTCCACCGCTTTGACGTGAGCACCTAGCGCATTGCATCAGTTTAACTGCGCTGTTAAAATACTCCAGAATATTGACAAAGTATTAGCTCTTTGCATTTTCTAAATTTCTTTACATTCGTGTATCGCCCTGAAACTACAACTTTTCCTTTCACGCACGAAACTTATGCATGCGCCAGCTTTTTTTTGGATTCTTCCTTTTCTCTCGTTTTGATTATGTAGAAATAGAATGCACGAATGATGTGCAAAAGAAGTGAAGGCACTTGGTGGCTCTTGACACCTTTTTGGACTGAGTCATTTAACAGACGGGATGACCAATAATCTTGTTGTTTGCTATCTACAAACACACCTGTAAATTTCCTTACGTTTGTTAAATAACTAAAATTGTTATGCAGTTGGTGTTCGACAGTCAGTGATACTATTTTTCTTAATTGTCCTAATTCTACTTGTCAATTTGCCATTGTGCTTGCGGATACCTTTATGTGCAAGCACCTTCTGATTATTTTAGGTAAAAGTCTAGTATTGATGCCAATATTCTCCGTAAATGTGCTAACGTTCTAATATCTCTGTCCGAATCTAATGAAATTGTGAAATTACTTATAGCTCATCCCAAGCCCATCGCAATGATCACGGCTATGCTGGTGGAAATGAAGTGTGCACGTCATAACATCGACTTGAGATGCCATCAAACGTTGCCCTTTTTAATACACTCCTTTCCTTATTTTAACATTACCATATTTTTTCACCAAAATTCGAATTCATTCTGTTTTTTCTTCGTCCGTGCATTTGGCCACCCTCATATACCCGCAAGATGTGGGACAAGAGGTGCACCTCGATGCCTCGAAGTTATGAGTTTTACATTATCCAGTGTCACCGCTTTTGCTGGTGGCTGTTTGATCAGCTCGCACTGCGAAGTCCCATAGCTCTGCAACACTCAGCGTATTTTGGCTGCCTCTTGGTAGATGGAATCGCCTCTAAGTTATCTGTTGTTTGTATTTCCTTTAGTTATTAAAACCTACTTCATTGAGAGGCGTTTCGACAACAAGCCAATTATCACGCTAATTAAGGTACGTTCAACCAACATAATATCGTATCCTCACTAGTTTGCCTTAGAAACCCTATCTTCCGTGCTAGTTTTGTTTATTACCCTTTCCCAATCAAATAAATCCTACTTTTTCCGCAATCATCTTGCTTCTTTTGATCTATTAAAGCCTATTCATAACCGCGATCACGTCTCTTTGAATGGATTTGCAGTGCAGTCTAAAACATTACTTCTTGGCTTTAATGTTTATGATCCGTTGAGAATGTGCCTACTTTAATAGCTATCCTGATTTTTTATTTTTAAATATGAATTCTAGTCATCCATCTTTTCCTTAAGCCCAAAATGCCTGTTTCTGCTAACGAGACAAACAACGCGCCGCCTTTTGCCAAGGACCAGCCGAAGACATCAGTCGACCCAGTCAACACATCGCCTACTGGGTCGAATGAGCTGACACTTGCAACGCCTCCCGGATCTGATGAACCGGAGGTGAGAGCTCGTGGATCCGATGTTGAGATGCTAGATGCTCTGTGGAATCTCTCCAAGCCAGAAGAGGTCTTCAAATTCCCACCAATTTCACGCTTTTCTCTTTGCTTTCTCTCGCAATCGCTTGAACAAACCTATCGGCGGCAGGTACTTCGTGTTCCCCGTCAATCCGTTCTCATTACCCTCGCAACACCCCGTCTAACTCCTGTTACCAACGGGCTGGCTCATTTCCTCTTCTTCCTCCTCGTCTCATCAGCCTGTTTCATTAACTTTCCAAATTTAACGAACTATCATCTAATTCTCCTGATACCCTTAGTTGTATTTGTGCTGGCCCTTTGTGTTAACTGCCTTTTTATGGCCATTGTTTTTTCGGACTTGCTTGCATGGGGAGGCTTCTGTCCCTCCGCAAAGCATCCTCTGCAGCGCATCTATCGGGTTTTATTCAGCTGGTATGTGAGGAACATCATTGGGGTGCTGATGCTATGTAGCCCTGCAGCTTTTGTGCTTGCCAATTTCCAAATTCGTCTTTTTTGGTTCAGTCGATCAGCGGATGTCGCGGCAGTGGCGGATTTCTCAACCGGAGAATACCGGATGGTTCATGGGATCCTGTTCACTTTCATGCTTTTCAATTTGACGCTGTTTCCAAACTATTCTTCGTGGGCAAAATCGCTCTCAGCAATGACGTTATGCATCATTGCTTGCTTGCTGGTACATTGGCCGTTCGCGGGTTTATCCTATAAATCCTCTGACCAAGTGGCTGGATTTTCTGCTATAACCACGGCTAGAGACTTAAGCACTTCTCCTATCTGGTTGGCTGCTGCTGAAAGTAGTCTGTTCCCTTGGGAAATGACCGTTATACTTGTCTTGAACCTTATCCTCATATTCTTCCTCAATCGCGACATCGACATCAGCTTTCGTGTCTCCTTCAACCGCGATTTTGAAGCAAGTCGTGCAAAGGAGGCCATCACTCGAGAAAAGATGCAGGGCGAGTGGCTGCTGGAAAATATCATTCCACGCTTTGTACTGACGGACCTGAGGAAGACTAACAAGTACTCTCAGCATGTAACCGATGCTGCTGTTATGTTCGCGTCGATAGCCAACTTTTCAGAGTTCTATGATGAGCAGTACCAAGGAGGACAGGAGATGTTGCGAGTCCTAAACGAGATTTTTGCGGATTTTGAACACCTTCTCTCCTCTGTGAGATTCAAAGACGTGGAGAAGATCAAGACGATTGCCGAGTGTTTCATGGCCGCATCAGGCTTAAATTTGGTTCAACGTGCACAGAATAAGTCAACAGATGATCATTTGTGTGCCCTAATGGACTTTGCCATTGAACTTCTTAAGACATTGGATGACTTCAACCGACAAATGTTTAACTTTCAATTCGAGTTAAAAATCGGCTACAATATCGGAGAAGTGACAGCAGGTGTTATCGGCACGACAAAGCTGCTCTACGATATTTGGGGAGATACTGTGAACGTCGCGAGTCGGATGTATTCGACGGGCCAGAAGGGTCGGGTACAAGTGACCGAGGATGTCGCATGGCGGCTCACTAAACACTACGAATTCGAGTATCGTGGTAACGTTTTCGTCAAGGGTAAAGGAGAGATGCGTACTCATCTCCTCGTCGGTCGAAAGGAGGCAAACTCGCAATAACGTGAGGATTCATGTTAGGTTAACATCATATCCTTTACTTAGGTCGGGGAGCTCCCAGATCGTGCATTCATTACGATCTCTACTGTAGTTTCGCTGTTTACGTCTGTACTCCCCCATCTGTGTTGTCATTGCTTTACGATTTTCTTAATTCCCCATCTTTCTAACATCAAAAGCTTCTGTTACTTGAAAAACTAATTGGTTCATCATTTGCTTCAAAAAATATCAACAATCATCATTTATCCTTCACAAGGTGTGTTGGAACACCACGGAATCGCGGATTTCCATTTTCAGAGCATTAAAACACAAAGACACAATAACTCTCAAGTAGCGTCTATCAGCTGCAACAATATCAATTAGGTTCACCTTATGAACCGTATTTCAAGCTTATCACAATAGCCTATTTCTCCAAAAGATTGAGGTAGATTTTCCAGATCAGTTTGTGACCCTTATTACAGTTTTGTCACGTTTATAATAGTGATACGAAGCATGTTTTTCACAACTGGTTAAGAGGTCATGAGATGTCGTTAGCTGATTGTGTAGCTATTTACTGCCTCTCACTAGCAGTTGTGATCCTCCAGGTAATGTTTCCTGTGCATGCCTCAAGATCAAAGACCGCGTTCTTTGACTAATACCACTGATTAGCGGCACAGTAGCTGGACTCATCCAAGGACCGAAATTCCTCTTCCACCTAAGGACATCCACATTACGCCGTGCCTGACGACATCCAATTCGAGAAACAAAACTGTCAGGCAACGATAGTCACTCAACATCATCTAAGGAAGATGCCTTGGATATGGGCCTGGATTCTAGTAAATGGTGGGGCCAAATATTTAAAGATAAGAAACAGATTAAAAGGTTCTAATGTACAGTTTATTATTATAGTGACACATTTTCGGTAGGACTTTTTGGCAACGGTGGTTGATCAGAATTGAGACCCTTAAACACGCTGGCTTGTAGGGGCATGTTCCTACTTATCGAAAAATCAATAATCAAGGTGGCTAGTCGCCGATGTAGAGTCGCAATGTTGGAGTAGATGCAAGCAGAAAAGGCTTCAATACTAGTGAAATCCATACCCGTGTAGGCATCATAGATGGACGAGGCATTACCCACATCAGGAGTGATCGTGGCGTCATCTTCAAAGTCGTGTTCATTTTCCATCGGATATGGGAAAGCATGTAAAGAACCGCCCGAATTAACACGTGATGGATCAACTTCGTTAAATCTGAAGAGTGAGCGCAGAAAAGTGATCACCTCTTCTCGAATGGAGTCACAGAAAGTGTTAAGGACTTCATCGGAGCCAAGGAAACCCCATGCCATGGCAGATGCGACTGTCTCTACTACGCGGTAGTAGAGCGAGAAAAAGCCATCCGGATGCTTGAGTAGCTTGCGCTTCGCAGCCATGAGAGTCCATACAGCCGAATCGAGAGCAGAGCGTTTGAAGCCAGGGCTCAGCCACGTGTTGCGCGTCAACGCCAGGATGGAAGAAGGAGGATTACTCAGGATTTCAAGGGCGTCTATCAGGATACGATCAAAAAATATGTCATAAAAATTTGGTGCCCGGACGTCCTTGCTTGCCAGTTCGTCGACAAAATTAGCGAGATTCTCAGGATCCTTAGTCGATCGCAAATATCCTAGTAGAGACCTAAAAGCCAAAAAATAGTATGGAACCGTGTTCAAAGCTTAAAGCTCGTCACGGGGATAAAATGCTCCATATTTACTTTCCAGAATTATAAGTCGAAATTTTGAGAACTGTTAATGAAGATGTGGAATAAAAAACGGCTCAAAACCATGTTAAACACTCTCAAAAAGCCGACAGTTAACGTACTCATAAGCTTCTTCAAACTCCATGGTTCCGCACCCAAGACAAATGAGGGCACCACACGCTAGGGATTCTCCAGCTTGCGCAAGCCAAGCAACCTGTTCAGCATGGGCAAAGATGTAATCGAACCCGCGTCGAACACATACTAATTTGCCAATATACTCAATATCCGACCGGCAATTCATCATTTCTGTGCGAAGAGCTCTGTGGAAGAAGAGAGTATCTAATAGGCTGCGAGATAGGTGAGCAAATGCACTTCCGAAAGAAGTAAGTCGGAGTTCAGAGCAGTCGATGACTGCAATGAGCTAAACATTTTAAGGAACGGCGCAACAAATATGAATGCAACTCTAAAGATGCTAAAATTGTTAACAGCTGAACATGATTAAAATTTAAGGAATGCTTAAATTTATAAGCACAGCTGGAGAGAGAGCACTAACAATGGAAGGTCAGCACACCTAAAAGTAACATTGCCTTCGTCCAGCTCCTTCAAGGCACTGCGGTAAAATGGCCGATGAAAATTAGAGGAAATCTGCACTTCGAGTTCAGAGAAGTCAATTTCTTCAACAGCAGAAAAGTATGACTCAGTCTCAATGTCAGAAAGTGAATCAACGCCTTGAAGTTCGGACGCAAATACAGGAACTTCCTGAATAAAAGCACGCTTGAATCGTTCTCTTAAAAGATATGACGTCTCTAAAAAACTTTGCAACTCTCTTACGAAAACATCAGCACTTGAATCTTTCAAATTAAACTGCTGAATTGTGCGAGTAATCTTACTCATGCAGTCCTCTAGTTGGTCAACAATTTTGTTTAATGCTTCAAGACCAATCATCCCACAATCCGCGGCAAGGGAGGTGATTGTTGAAACTGAGGTGCGATGAGAAAGTACTCTGCTACCGTTTGGTACGGCAGCTATAGGCGACATAGTTAAGGTGGCATCAAGGCGATGTCGAGATGCACATGAAACGTCAGAGCCAAGAATTCCAAGCTTGACATGATCCGAAGGGACACCATTTTGACTTGATTTACCAAAGAAAATGCGCCTGAGTAACCACCACGAACATATAGCTGCGGCTCCCCCAACAAATACGACTAGAGCAGCATTTAAAGACGGTCTACGAATCCGTATTATCCAATGCTTTGTCATTAGGCAATATATAAAGTCAGAAGCATTTTAAGGATTTGAAAGACCCTCACACGAAGAGCCCATACTCGATTGAGCTGAGCAGAATAGGCTAGGAAGGACTAGGTCGAAGAGAAGTAGGGATGCGGCGAAATGCATGACTCAAGAAAGTTGTTTAATTTTTAAAAGTACAACTTTACAAAGTGCCAAAACAATTATAAGCTAAGAACCAATGCGAAGAACCACAATAAGATGGCATAATTTGAAGATTAGTGGCTACAAGAAGCAAAATTGAATAATGAATTTGCTTATCTTTTGATGCTTGAAAGTGGCAATAACTGCTCATGGAAGACAGGCTATGCAAGATGATTATGATGATATTCAATCAGCGAAATTTTTCACAGCTACAGAGTAACCCAAACACAAACTTATAGATAAAATACGCTTAAACACGGTCGTTTTCGAAGTAATTTTAATGATGCACAGTAATTTCTGTAAAGTTAAAGCGATTTAAAATTAACCCAACTTTACAAAATAATTGTTTGGTTTTTTGTTACAATAACAAAAACTGCAGCCTCTTGTTTGCATAAGTGACAATTGGCAACAATTTCGAGGCTGCTTAGCATGGTTGTCGATGTGTCTGCTCCGAAGCCTTTTTCAGCCTCCGCTCACT